AAAAACATCGTGGAGAATTAAGGTTTTTCCACCTTGTAAAATCAACTTGCAAGTTCCTATGCCTTTTACCTCGATCCTCGCATTGTTACCAATGTAAAGCCACTTGCTTTGATTTGACAACCGACGATACTTTACGAAGGATCCATGATCCTTGCTTATGTGGTCTGTGGAGCCTGAGTCTACAATCCAAGAAGAGGAAACAGTTTTTGTTAGAAAACATTACTGGAAACATAAGAAAAATGTGAATTCACATAATTCACAAGTACCTGATCACGTCCACTTTGCTCAGGACAATCCTTTGCAAAATGGCCCATCTTTTGACAAGCGAAACATTTGACCTTTTTAAGGTTAATTATCTTTTTACCGCTCTTCTTGCCCTTTTTCTTGAAAGGTTGTTTGTCCTTCTTTACTCTAGGGCTACTCTTATTACCCTTCTTATGTTGTTTCTCGCCTCTCTTGGGCTTAGAATTTGAAGGACCACCTTCCTCAACAAGGTAAGTCTATCCAAATGACTTGTAAGCCTCCAAACATTCAACCTCTAGCTCTAAGTGTTTAGCCACATCATTAAAGTTAACAATATTTTCATTGTGGGTTAAGTTAACTTTCATATGCTCCTAGCTGTGTGGGAGCGATCTGATTATAGCCTGTACTTGTTGTTCGTCAAAAGATTGTGCCCGACTTCTTTAAGTTCACGGATCATGTTGGCCATCTCTCTAAGGTACTGCCACATGGGAGTATTCGGCTTTAATTTATAAGTGTCGAATTTAATTGTAAGCCTTCTTAGTTTGGTGGTTGAGGTACCACCAAATTTTTCTTTTAAGGCAGCCCACATGGCTTGGGCAGTAGAGTGCTTCTCAAATTCGCACATCAGATTATCTGCCATAGCACTTAGAAGTATTATTCGTGCAATACTATTTTTTCATTTCCATGCCTCAAATGCCTCTTGGTCTCTCCTATGCTGAGCCGAGTTTCTGCCTCAGGCTCGGCCATGACTTTAGTTAATGGCTCAATAGTATCTTGTTCTTCCAAAATATATGATACCTTACAATGCCAGATATCCCAGTTATCCTCGTTTAATTTGTCACCCTTATTCAATTCAGCGATAATGGTTTTTGTTGCCATTCTTAGTTCTAAGATGAAACTATCCCATATTAATAGTTTTCTATATTAAACCAAGAATAAAATACTTATGAGAAACATATAATGTCTTATATTTATATTATTCTTTATTAGAGTGATAACGACTCTAATAGGTCAACGATCAAGAGGCTACGTTTGTATCTCCCATCACATTGATTCTAATAAAATCACTATCATCTATAAAAAATTTTACAAATATTTTGATCGTTACATATGGCTCATAAATGATTTATTACTTTAGAGCTCCCACTCAAATAAAGTATATATAAAGCAATTAAACATAAAACAACATGCTTCATATATTTTATAAATTATCAAGATCTTAATATAGCATAAAAACAAATTCTTGGAAAAACAGAACAATGCTTAAGGTATAGACCTAAAAAGACAACTCTTAATTATGTCTTTATATTTTTCTTGTACTTTCATCCCCTTGATGGCTCTATTCTATAGAGGACTTCCAAAGTACGATTTGTTTCGCTTGTTATGTTGCACAAGCTCCTTCCTAAGTTGTTTGAAAATTTCTCCTATAATCATGGCTTGTTCTTCTTTCATTATGAAGCTTGAATATACTCTGACTATTGGAGAAATTTGATCCCATTGTTTTATTCTTTTAGCTTCTCTTTTTGCTATATTTATGATCACTGAGGGTGTGAAAGGTTGTTTGACATCTTCATTTTCATTTTGAACATTTTCATCACCCTTTGATTTATGTTTTGGTCCTGACAGTATGTGCACCTCTTTAGGTCCTTCCGGCACATTTTCAAGATCAATATTGGGATCTTCTTCAGGGTCAGAATCAGAATCCTCACTTTGAGGTTCATATTCCTCCTCCTCCTCCTCTTTGAAGGGTTTCAGATCGAAATCCTCACTAAGAGGCTCATAATCTGGTTCATCCAGATACTCAATACTGACAGAATAATTTTTAAGTTATTAGCACTGCTAGAAGCCTCTTGCTTCATATTTTCCATGAGAAAAAGAAATTTAGAAATATTATTATTTTTTTAAACTCATAAAAAAATACTACATAACACAAAATAAATTCTTGTTCTATCTCAAAAAATATGCAAATTATATATCAAAATGAAGATCTCGAATTTAGGAATTTTTTCAGACAAATTTGGTCCTAATATAATCCAACACGTGTCGGCACGCGCCTCAAGAAGGTGTTGGATCAAAAAAAAATTTTAAATGCCATTCTCAAGGAGGCATGTGTTGTGCACGCGCCACCATATTTGTCTTAGGCAATGTCACGCACCGAACCATCATTCCCCACATGCCACCAGCTTCATGGTGGGGTCAACCACGCTTCGATTGAGTTACCCAGTGGGTCTACACGCCACGTGTCCTCTTAATATTTTTTTATTCAATAAATAAAAAAAATATATATATATATATATATATAATTTTTTTTATTTATATATTTTTTTAAATTGGGTCAGGTTGATGAACCCGACTCGTGGACCCATTAATTTTTTTTTATTGGGCTGGGCTTTAGTTTAATTTTTTTTATTTTCTTACTGTGTTTACACTGCTTCAATCTTTCTCTATCTGTCTTTAAGATTATCACTATCAAAATGAATGTGTTAATATGCTTCTTGGTTAATATGAATGTTCCATATATGGCTATACACGTTTTGCATGCAATCAATAGTGACGAGTATACCGACTGAAACTAAACCGAATAATGGGTGTTTAAAAAATGAGTTTTTTAAACAAAACGATTGCATAAAACGTGTAGAGCTCGAAGAAACAAAGAGAATGACACCAAGAATGTGTAAAACAGAGACCGGACAGAGGAGATATGGCCTCCGGTAGTTTCAAGTCTGACGAACCCGACCCGCCAGAGGAACCGGGTCAAGTTGACTCGGCTGGGGGAAGATGACGATAGAAATGACGCGTCATTTCTGTCCTCATCAAAATGACATGTCATTTTGACGTGTTGTCAAAACTAAAAAAATTAAACTTAGAGATTTGTGTATATAGAGTTAAGCAAATCATTATCAGTTCTTTAGACAGAGGAAACACAGCCCAGGAAAGATGAATGCTCTGATACCAATGAAAGAATATGAGGAGGAAAACATACCTTAAATCGTTAATTCACACGTACGTATGCAGGAACAAAGTTACAATCGTCGAACTTCATTTGGGTACACAGCAAATGCACTCTCTGAAAGAAAAGCCATGTAAGGAGAAAAATGAGACAGATGAAAAATGAGAGCGTTCTGTTTCTTTCTTCACACAGAGAACTCAAAATTTGAACCGACTGAAACCACACTCCTAACCACCTCTTATGGGAACGTGTGGCAGTTTCTTTAACCGCCCATGTTTCAAATTCAAAGGTTGGAGAATATTACATTTTAAAGTCCTGAGTAAATCGCATTTTGAACCCAAACATTTTTCATAATTCTCATAAGAGCTCCATTCCCCAATTTGAGCTTTTATATGGGCTTGATCCACCAAGGGTGGATAACCCAACAAGTCTGAATCTGTATTTAAAAAAAAAAATTTCTTTAAAACTTAACTATCATAAATTGCTAATTTTAAAATTATATTGTTATTCTCTCTAAAAAATAATCTTCAAATAGGTTAAAATAAATGTGATAGTGAAATAATCATTTAGTAGACGCCACTCCTGTAAACGATGGTTCATCGTTGTCATATATAGGGTCAAATAATTGTCAAATATGATTGTTTATGTTATAATGAATTAAAAGAGTTTTTATCAGTGTCACCCAATAAAGTTAAGGAATTAAAAAAAGAGTTTTTTTTCTTTGTTTTTTTTTTCTATTGTCTCTTCATTACAAATCTAAATTATTTAATTATAAATTTAAATTTTTAAATTTAATTTAACAGTGTAAATCTATACCAATATGTCATCTTCTCTCCTTCATAAGAGAGAAAATCCAACTTCGTAAAAATAAGCCTCTCCTAGCTTTAGGAGGGTTAGTAAGATTTCTCTCTCGACTGGCTCCCCCACCCCCCCCCCCCCACTATTGGAATGTTGAGAATTTGTGGTCCTTACATGTTATTTTTTAACTTATAGGCTCTTGCAATGTCATTTCACCAAATGTTTCGAACTGGAAAGTTGCTCTATTTTATAATTTATTTATCTTGTATAGACCGTTAGCGTACAAAGCTCCCTGACATGCGTCAACACTCAACACCGCCCTTTTTGACGGTAAGTTAGACCAAACTTTGAATTTCGGTAATTTCTCTTTTTTACATTTTCCTTAATTGTTCTCTCACATCCTTAATTAATTATACAAAATTCGGTCAAAGAATAATTAATCACACTAACGATTATGCTTCATCTATAATTTCTTTTTATTTTTATTACTAATTTTATTGAAAATATGACGTAGAACAAAAGTTTGTTTAAGGAAACAAAAATTAAAAAAAAAAAGACTGGCAATGTGATTTATTATAAAAATGAATCATATATAGATATAAATTACATCAATATCAATTTGAGATTTGAAAACATAAGAAGCATTCATAAATAATACAGCTTCTTATGATTTCTTATTCTTATTTTTTTACATTGTATTTTATTAAATTTATGTAATGTAATTTTATATATTTTTAACATATTTCAAATAATAAAAAAAATAAATATAGTTTCCTAAAAATTTTGAGTTATAGGAAAAATATTTAGTTTGTTTTAAATGAAATAATTAAATATGTGACAAGGTTTGTACTTCATAAAAAATATTCTAACAAAATATTTATAATCTTGGCTTTCGTAACGCGTTAGGCTACAGCCCGCGAGCGTGGGGAACGCAACAAAACCATGTATCTATCGCTATTAGCTACATATTTCAGTTGACGAAAAGGCCCCTCTTCTTTATCATTATCTCACACCTGTCACTTCCTCTTGCTCTCTCGTTTTCTTGAAGTGCTACTTCTAGCGCTCACAAAACCACAAGAAACTGTTCCTTCTTCTGGTTCTTCAAATTCTTGTGTTTTTTAAGCCAAAGAAACGGAAGGAAAATCTTCTTGTAAACATTCGAACTCCGAATTTCTGACATCTTAACCTTTTCCCTCTTCGCGTGCCGCAGAGGAGGAGGAAAGGGGAAAATGGGAGTCGGAACTAGTAACTTTGTAATCAGATGGATCAACTTTTTCACCATGGTTTGATTCTCTTTCCTTTTTTTTTTTTGCGCATGTGTTTTAGTTCATTCATATGCTTTAATGGTGATTTTGAGATGCATTTTGAAAGCATGCCCATTTTTATGCGCATCGCCTTTCAAATCGTCGCTAAATCGGTTTCGCTTCCTCTGTTGGAAAGTTTGTTTGGACTTGCTCTTTTTTCCCAAGTTTCGATATTTTTTTGCTTTCTTCACACCTCAAAGCTGCTTATTCAGCCTTATTGCAAACTGATTTTCAGGGGTCTTGTATGGTTGTTCATGCATGTTTGCTTTCATTTGAAGCAAAAAATATGCTCGAAGCTACAGTTTTTCATGCTTTCTTTACTTCTGTTTGCATTTTCTTTCTCTAGCTAGTTTATTTGCTTCATGATAAGTTAGAAAAGAAATGTTAATGGAAAATGGTGATGTCAAACACTATTTCATCAGGTTTACTTCAGATAGTATTAATATATCAGTGAAGCAGGACATGGACATCACTTGTTTATTCTTTCTTAGTTGATGCTTAATCTTCTCCTTGTGCAGCTTTTGGCTGTTGCAGTAATAATATTTGGAATATGGATGAGCAATCATCATGATGGCTGTAGGAAGTCTCTCACTCTGCCTGTGATAAGCCTTGGAGCATTTATCTTCATAATGTCAGCCTTGCATTTTTTTAAAAGTTAACTTTGGTGTCTTCTCTTGCTGGAATATTTTTGCTTGTTGATCGTCCTCTAATCCAAGTTTTTGAATTGTATAGATCCGTAATCGGTTTCTTGGGTGCCCTAAAAAACATCTCTATAGTGTTATGGGTTGTATCCTTATGAAATGAATACTTATTATAGTCACATATATTTCCAAATTGAATCTTATCAATTATTGAACGATTCCTTTGGAAGAGACTAGCATATGAGAACATAATTGGGCATGGGCTTACTAGTCACTTCCTCTCTTTACACCCATATCCTCTTGTTTCTTTATTTCTCTTTGAATGCACTGTATATAAATATTTTGATCCAGAGTGCGTACATCCACTGCCACTTGCCAACACCTTAAAGAATTTGATTTTAGCTTCTGGACTCTGGTATCATCCTTGACATTTCACTTGCAGTATCTGATCATCCTATGCTTCATCTTAATAGCTATTCTGGTCTTCACTGTACTGGCGTAAGTACACAAATATTTTGACCACATTCTTTTTGGTTTCTATGTTATCGTTTGGTCTTTGCAAGTTGTCTCTGCCATGAATTTACAAGAGAGAGAGAGAAAAAGAGAGAATAGGAATTCTGAATAGTCCTCTGATTAATTCTTAAAAAAACATTGTGTCAGATTTACAATATGCTTCCTTCTATAGATGCTGACACCAGGGTTTATGTTTATCTCCCTAGTATGTTTGGTTGGAAGGGAGGGAAGGGCCCCTTATTTGGGAAAATTAAATGGAGGGGAGAGGAGGGAAAATTTTAATTAATTTTCACTCCCCTCACCTCTCAACCCTCCCCTCCAAATTGGGGGGATTTCCCTTTCCTTCCCCTCCCCCTCCCCCTCCCCCTCCCCTCCCCTCCAACTAACTATCTTTTTTGAATTACAAACGATACATCATACTCAGTCTTAAAATTGAACTTTGAAGGAGCAAGGACAAAGACTCTCATGGTTTAATTTTATTCTTCTCAATGAAAGTTGAAGATAATAATCTCAATTAAGGAATTATGTGCTCAGAGTTGTAAAGCAATGCACATCTGATGCAGATTTTTAAAATTAGGCAAAAACACAATAAACTAGGACGTTTTACATTATTTTCCTTTGCTTTTGCTTCGATCATATGACAACTTGACTTGCTTGGATTTTTGGTTCTTGTTTGGGTCTCATAACCTTGCTACTGTGTCAGGTTTATTGTGACTAATAATGGATCAGGTCATAACGTGGCTGGCTTGAGGTAAGAAGACAAGCACTTCATACATGTACACTTCATTATGATCCTTCAATTTTTCTAGTTAAATGCATCTTGATCGTATTTTGAAATTATCACTATATTTCTGCTTGATTGTAGTAGAATAAATGTCTTATCTTGTTAGGTACAAGGAGTATCAACTGGAAGATTACAGCTCATGGTTCCTCAAACAAGTAAGTTTGTGGCAATCTAGGGAACTGATGCTAACACAGTAACAATTCTACAAGCATTTGCTTGATCTATTCCTTTTGTTTTAGTTGAACAATTCTCGTAACTGGGCTCACCTGAGGAGTTGTCTTGTCAAATCTGAAGACTGCAATAAGCTATCAAAAAAATACAAGGTCCCATGCTTCTATCACGTCATTGAATTCAACTCCATCATGATTTGTATGAACAATTCTCATTTATTCTCTTTACAATCTTCATATTTTGCAGACTCTTAAACAATATAAATTGGCTAAATTGACCTCCATTGAGGCTGGCTGTTGTAGACCACCTTCTGAGTAGGAATTCACCCTCCTACCTCAAAGATTTCGTACAAACTGTTTCTTTTAGTGCAGTTTCAGTTGTGTTCTGACTAGAGTTGATCTTTTGGCCAAGAAAATTAGCACCATTGACTGATTCTTTTATGTAACTCAGATGTGGATATCCTGCTGTAAATGCATCATACTATGACTTGACCTTTCATCCAGTTAGCGCTAGCTATGACTGCAGACGGTACAAAAACTCTCGGGTAGTCAAATGTTATGATTGTGATTCTTGCAAGTAAGCATACTCGGTAGCCCTATTCCATGGTCAATGCTTTTTACTCCTTAGATGTATAAATTACCTGGCTACACTTGTGTTTTCCTTATTTTTGTTTCCAGGGCTGGGGTTGCACAATACATGAAAACTGAGTGGAGGATCGTTGCAATATTTAATGTTGTTTTATTTGTTGTGTTGGTAAGATATTCCTGATCCTTTTGTGAGATTCATCAAATTATTTCCCAGGAAACGTCTTAAGTTACTCTACGTGGCACAAACTCTTGAACTAGATCTGAAACCTCTGTATTTATCGAGAAATTGCAGTGTATATTTTGAAAAGATAAGAGAAAGAAATATGAAGCATGTGGATAGGGAAGAAGTAGATCACATAAATTTTTACTATCATATGAAATATATACAAGTAAAGAATTTCTAACGATCTAACACTAAAATATTAGTTCTTTTGAGAAGGATCTTACATAGCTTTATTTTCACCAAAAAAGCTTGAACCAAACGAATAAGAAATTGGAGCCAAGCCTTGTCCATACAAGTTACCAACAGTGCATTTCCTTGCATGCCTTAAATTTGATTTACAATTACAATTGCAATGTAATGTGCAATGGCAGGCTATTATATACTTTGTTGGATGCTGTGCGAGACGAAATGCTGCCAGGAGCCATTCTAAGGCTTGAAGGGAGAATATATGTGCTGCTTCTACAAATTTCTTTTGATTAATGCCAATTGAAGATATCAATGTCTGCGGCATTTGGTTTGTACTTGTTTAGTGACTTTTTTTTCCCAAAAAAAAAAATAAAAATAAAATTTGGTAAAAAATTGTGAATTTCTGTACCCATGAGACTTGACTTTTGTTATGTCATCACATTTTTATTCTTTGAAGTGTATAGCAAATTCAAATTTAGGAAACTTACTGTGCATGGACAAGTTTAATCATGCAAAGTGTGGCTTATTATTCCTTTTGGAGGATTTGTCAGAATACAATCAAGATTATCTCAAGTATGATTTCTCATCGCTTATGCTGCAAAATTAATTGAAATACATGTAAATTTGGTGCATTTAAAATTGAAGTGTGTCTAAGAAATTGATTACAACAATCAGACGTTGATCTGTGATTGTTTAAGTATGGCTACACGAGGTCTTGAGTTTAAATTTGTGTGAAAGTTGAAAACATTTTTGAAAGAGTTATATCTAATTAGATTTAATACTTGAATCTAACAAGTTGATAGTTATAGAAAAAATGACGTTATATGTAAATAGTTTGATTTAATTTTAAATATCAACCATTAAGCTGAAAGTAACACCAAGTTTAACGTGTATAACATTATACGATTAACCATTAAGCTAAAAGAGATATACGCATTTAATATTTGATTATATCCATACTGCTTTCAATAGGAGGACAATTGTATGCCAACGTTTTGAACCCCCTATCGAACTGGATGTCGAGTCAATCAGGCGGTCACTTGCTCTATAGGCTTGAACCGTTTGGAAGGTCAAACAGTTTTGAGCCATCTTGAATCGGTGCTTGAGCCAGAACTCAAATGGGAGCTAGGACTTGGAGCTAGTTGAAGAGAGTCCGGTAAGTCTACATTTTTTGAATTTAAAAGAAATTTCTTTCGCTTGCCACTTGTGTCCTAGTTGAAGATGTAAGGAAGTGATTCTGGCTCACTCAACATGAGAAGCCTGACAGATGGATTTGCATTCAGTACTCATTACCGTGTGGTCATTCCTGACCCTCCATTTTAGTATAAATTGATTTCTGTCATTTATTTAAATTAATTTTTGAATGTTTTTAGTATTATTTTTAGTAATATAAAAAATTTTAAAATTTTAATAAATTTATTCATTACCAATCTAATCAGTACATATTTAATTTAGCATTTTAATTTAATATTAATTTTTTTTATAATTTTATAATTTGACTTTTGAACGATTTACATATAATTTAGATGATCTAATTTAATATTATTTACATATAATTTAAATGATTTAATTTAATATTAAAAAAATATAAACTTTATAAATTAATCATTTACATGTATTTTAAATAGTTTATATTTAATGTTAATATTTTTTATTTTTTATTTTAATAATTATAATATTAAAATATTTAAAAATTAATTTAAATGGACGATAGAGTTGTTTTAAATTGAAATGAAAGGAATGCGGACGCCTGACAGGTTGCTATTCATTATAGAGAATCAGAGTTAGTGACTCTGTACACGTCATAGCTTCTACAGTATGCTAAAAGAATAAAGAATTCTCCTTTGCAGAACTGCAATAAGCTATAGTATAGGAGCAATAACATAGTTCAGGCCAAAAAAAAAATAGTAATAACGAAGAAGAAGCAATGGCACATGCGACTATAACTTGGGCCTTTTACTGGATTTAGTAGCCTTGGACTGAGACATGAGCTAAACCAGTCTAGTGGCAAAGTAATACATCAAACATCCCCCTGCAAGCGTGAGGTGACTGAAGGCAGCCCAAGCTTGCCTATGAGAAAGAGAAACCAACTGGTCAATAATGGCTTGGTCAAGAGATCTGCAAGCTGGTCGTCAGTCGGAACAAATTGAGTAGCAATCTTCTTAGCAAGCACCAAATCATGAACAAAATGAGAGTTAATCTCCTTATGTTTAGTGCGAGCATGGAACACATGATTGGAGGCCAAAGTTGATGCACTAGGATCACCGCATTAGTTTACTAATATGAGTTGAGAAAGCAAGCCAAGTTCATCGAGGAATGATTGGAGCCATATAAATTTAGCTGCCATATGAGCAAGAGAACGATATTGAGACTCTGTATTTGAATGGGCAACAACAATCTGTTCCTTAGATGACCAAGAGACTAGGGAATAACCAAAGAACCAAAAAAAAAAAAAAAAGAAAAAAAGAAAACCGCTAGTTGAACAACGATCAACTCAGCAAGGAGCCTTAGCCCCACTAGAGTAGGCAGCAAGATCAAGATACTCGGATCGTTTGATGGGTAGCTCGATGTGAAAGGTTCTCCTGCCATATCTAAGTAGCCATTTGATGGCCAGCCAGTGTAGAATAGTAGGGGAAGATAAGAACTGACTCAACTTACTAACTGCAAATGAAACATCAGGACAAGTGGTGGCTAAATGTTGCAGAGCACAAACAATTCGACGATAATCAAAAGTATCATGTAGAGGAGAACTATCAAATCATGACAACGATTGGCCTAGAACCATTAGCATTTTTGCAAGAGGAGTCGGCACTCAAATCCTATCGACTAGGAAGATAAAAAATATATTTGCCTTGGTTGAGATAAACACTAGAGGCACCTCGGGCAATTTCTATACAAGAAAATAATTACTAGGGCCCATATATTTCAGAGAGAACATGTCATTAATTTTTGCAATAAACATACTCATACTGTTAGAATCATTCCTAGTGACAAGGATATCATCAACATAAATCAATATTATTAGAATTTGATCTTGATTTTGAAAGAAAAACATGGATGTATCACTCTTGCTATTGGAAAACTTCAATGTCAAAAGAGTGGATCAAAGATGATAAAACCAAGCAAGTGGTGCATGTTTCAACCCATATAAAGCTTTTCTACCATTTGTTTAGTAGGTAACCCCACCACAAATTTAACTTTCTTCTTGCCATCTACATTGGCATGTATCTTAGAAGGTAAAGGAAAGATATCTAAAGAAGTTATAGGATTAAAATTATAAACAATTTCAAAAGGAGAATATGAAGTAGAAGAATAGATAGCTCTCTTATAAGCAAATTTAATGTGAGGCAAACACTGTTCCCAATTCTTCAAATTCCTTTGACCAATAGCAATCAACAATGCAATCATAGTTTTATTGATTACCTTAGTTTGACTATTTATTTGAGGATGAGTAATAGTAGAAAATAACACTAGTACAAAATATAATTTTAACTATATTTTTTTTCCCACAGTTTATAAGAAAACTATGGTAAAATAAGGTAAAGTGGCAAAAATGTAAATAAGGTAAAAAATGTAAGACTTATGGCCACAGACATACAATCCACCTGTCACCGTAAATGATTTGACAAGCTATTAAACAAACAACATAATTAAAATAAATCATTAATTCAAATTTTAAATTTACATTATTAAGAAATATATATATATATTTAAATTTAAATTATTAAGAAATATATATATATATATATACACACACTTAACGTGTCTCAGTTTAGAATTCAGACATATAAATTTTAGTTATTTTTAAAACAAAGATTATTTTTATTTTTATAAATATTTTATCATAAATATATAAATAAATTTAATTTTTCTAATTTCAGGCATAACAATTATGCTTGAAATCAGAAACCTACGGCGACAGGCGTGATAAATGCCTGAAATCAGGCAAACTTATGACGACAGGCGTGATAAATGCCTATTGCCGTATGTCTGATTCAGGCATTAAATATGCCTCAATTTTGTAAAAATAATAATTAATTAATAATTAAAAATTTTACATAAATTTTTTAATTATTTAAATTTTTAATATGCCTAAATCCAAACATATTAAATGTGTCTAAATTCAGACATCTTAAATTTAAACTATTAATAAAATCATGATTATTTTAATTTTTATAAATATTTATTCATTATATATATATAAATTAAATATGTCTGATTTCAGGCATAATTAGTATGCCTGAAATTAGAAACCTACGGTGACATGCGTTAAGAACGCTTGTCACCGTAACTATGTCTGATCTCAGGCATATTGATTATGCCTGAAATCAGGCAAACTTACGGCGACAGGCGTGATAAATGCCTGTCGTCGTATGTTTGATTCAAGCATTAAATATGCCTCAATTTTGTAAAAAAAATAATTAATTAATAATTAAAAATTTTACATAAATTTTTTTAATTATTTAAATTTTAATATGTCTAAATCCAAATATATTAAATGTGTTTGAATTCAGACATATTAAATTTAAATATTAATAAAATTAGGATTATTTTAATTTTTATAAATATTTATTCATTATATATATATAAATTAAATATGTCTTATTTCAGGCATAATTAATATGCCTAAAATCATAAATCTACGACGACATGCGTTAAGAACGCCTGTTACCATAAGTATGTCTGATCTCAAGCATATTGATTATGCCTAAAATCAGGCAAACTTACGGCAACAGGTGTGATAAATGCCTGTCGTCGTATGTTTGATTCAGGCATTAAATATGCCTCAATTTTGTAAAAAAAATAATAATTAATTAATAATTAAAAATTTTACATAAATTTTTTAATTATTTAAATTTTTAATATGTCTAAATCCAGATATATTAAATGTGTCTGAATTCAGACATATTAAATTTAAAATATTAATTAGGATTATTTTAATTTTTATAAATATTTATTCATTATATATATATATAAATTAAATATGTCTGATTTCAGGCATATTGATTATGCTTGAAATCAGGAAAACTTACGGCTACAGGCGTGATAAATGCCTGTTGTCGTAAGTCCATTATTACATATGGCGACAAGCATTAATGACGCCTGTCGTCGTATGTATTTAATAAATTTGTTTATCGCCAACCCTTAGCTTCCTCACTCGCCCTCAGCTCCCAAAACGTTTGTCGCAGCTTCCTATTCTTGGAGCTCCCTCAGCCGCCACAGCTCCAGCCCCCATTCCCCTAGCTCCCTTGTCCGTTGCAGCTCACCCCCTTTTCCCCCAACTCCCTCGTCCGCTATCAGCTCATTTGCCCACAGCTCGTCCGCCCACAGCTCCATCTCCAGCTCATCTTGGCGCCCATAGCTCTGCCGCCTCCTACTGTCTCCTCTAGTGCTAGCTAAAAGTTTTCCCCTCCTTTTTTTACAGTTTATTATTTTTTTTGAAATTTATTATTTTTTTGTAATTTATGTCATTTTTTTAGTTAAATTTCATTCTTTTTCTAGTTTATTTTTTTTGCAATTTATTATTAATTTTTTTTACAATTTATGTCATTTTTTAGCTTAACTTTCATCCT